AGAGAGGAGTGGCTGCGCCGGTAGGGCTCAATTGTATTATTCCGGAGTTGTTCCATTGATGCTTAGATCAAGGCCAAATCCCCATATACATACGGCTACTATACACGAATATGAAATGAAGGTTCCCATTTTTACCATGGTATCAGCACTTGTATCCCCACAATCCCCACTAGGAATCAATGAAGAATAGCCTGGAAAGGAAGAATGATAATATTTTTTTAACCTGAGTTGATGCAGTAAATCCTTCTTGGGAACTCTTGAGCTTTGCCATTTACTGATGATTGTTATATTTTTGTCCCTCGATTTCGTCCATCGTTGTAAGGTGGGAGACACTTGCAATCCAACTTTCTAGCGTCCGGCGATCGAAATGTCGGTGGATAGCTTTTCCTGACTTTGGCTTTGACTTGAGTGTTGCTGGGGAAGTGGATCACGATGGGTAACATTATGAGGAACTTCTTTTCAGCTTGTCTAGCTTCAGATTTTACCTGAACAGAAGTCGTCAGGTAGTCATTATCTTTAATCATGTATGTCCAAGAGAACCAAGTCAAACATTGATCACCCAAGTCACCAAGAAATAGTTGTACCTTTGTACCAATTCTCACTCTCATGTGTCCATCTCCGATTCAGTGGTAAATGTAGTTTGCTCACTCTCAAGAATCATGCTTGATGATGGTCGGTTTCCAGTCGATTTCAATGGTAAATGTAGTTTACTCACTCTCGCGAGTAGCTTCACCACCTCTCCAATCATCTACGCAATGATCCGACTGTTCTTCTTTGCAGTATCAGTATAACAAGGGAAAGAGCAACTGACTGAAACAAGTGATGTAAGAAAAGGAGTACACTGACTAAATCTGTGCTTCTGTTTTGGCCGATCAAGATCACGGTGAAATAGGATTTTCATGTTTGCATCAAACAAATTAAGTTGCTCCTACATATCATCTCTATGCTCCCAGCTGCTATCAATCCTTACACAGCTTGTTTCCCCCTTATATGACTGCTTTTTCTTCTTAGACAAATGCATAGTTCATGTCTTTTGATAACCTCGATTTGTTTAAGCTGCATTTTACTGTGTTTTTGGCTACCAGGTAGGTGTGCTTCTCTTTAATTTGTTGTCGGGGAAGACAAGAAGATGTTTTAGATGATGACCTCCAGTACTCTTGTCTGCACTAGGAAGTTAAAGCTTTCTATACGATCTTTTGCTCTTTCAGTGATGGCATCAAGTCTGTCTGTGATGATTCTGATGGTGCAACCAGTGCTGCAAATGGCCTTCCCGGTGGTTGAGCCATTGTCACCTCCTGCAACTTGTTGTTGGTAGGAAGGGTATCACAATCTTACTGTCATACTTATTTCTCTACGAGAACATTATCTTGCAGAGATGATCCACGGACCACCTATATCAACAATGTCATGGTAGACGCACGAGTTTCCCATCTTGGCGTTCTCGTGCATCCACCAAAGGTTACAGTCTAAATCACTGTTTGTGTGGGCAAATTAGCTACGCTTCAGGAAATCAACCTAAACTGAGGAGCTGTGTCTTCTTCAGCAATACTAAATTGACAGTGAAGGTGACATGGTCCACAACCCTTGTGATGGTCATCCTTTCGAGGTTGAATTCACTGAACCTGGGCAAAGGACCACATGCTCACGTCCTTCCATGGGAGTCTTGTACTACCGCGATGTGTTCCCAGTGAGACCCACCTGGATGTAACTTGACCCTGGTTAAGCTTTGTGGTGGAGGGGGTGTATGTATGCTTTGACGCCTGCAAAAATGATTGAGGTCCGTCTTCCCATCCTGAGGTGGGAGTTTGGGCCGAGTTGGGATCCCCAAAGTTTGCAGGTGAAAGCTCGTGATTCCATGGTCAGAGGGCTATATTCTTTGCCTCCAAGTGTGAAGACACCAGGTATCAAGTGGGTGGCCATAAATCAGCAAGTTGGGAGGGAAGTGACCATGAATCGTCCTCCTCCTCTGGTTCACTGCCTTGGAATCAGCATCTTGAGGTAAAAAGAAATCGGTGCTGTAGCAGAACAAAGCTTTCTTGGCTTCCGAGTTTAGCTTGCATTTGGGTCTTGATCACGAGGGAAGGAGATGTGTCTCAGACTGAGCTGATGCCAAACAATCGACTGAAAAGAAACCACCAAAAATCACACAAAAGAAGAGAGAAGACGAAGACCAATCTCTTTTGGTTGTGAGGCACAGTAGCATTCCACGTATCGATAGATGGCTGCGCTTGCATCAATGGCTCGGAGAGACGTGCTGCAGTTATCCTGGTTTTGCTTCAAGCTCGGTGCCCACAACTCATGGGTCCCACGGTGACACCGCCACCCGACCTGCCCTCTGATCCCTTTGGTTCTTTGCTTCCCTACCTTCCTCTACTCAGTTATATAAAATTAATTCAAATAGTTAGAAATAAATTTAATAATAAAAATAAAATAAATGAAAGGTTTATTTTTTAGTGTGTGGATGAGGAGGTTTATTAGACTATGGATGACTTCTTTCTTATTAAAATAGTATAATTTATTTTTTATTACTATAAATATATATTTTTGGATATGTCCAAAATACTATAGATTGAAAGTATTTTTTATATTTATTTTATCATCTTTTTCTTTCTCAAGTTATGTAGAAAGTCAATAAGTATAGTATTAGAGCATGATTTAAAAAAGATAAGGAGTATATTGATTAAAAAAGATAACATTGAAGTAAATGTTTCTAATTAAAAATTAAAAAATGATAACATTGAAGTAAATGTTTCTAATTAACTTCTTCTTATTTTCAAAGATGAAATTATTATTTTTAAATTATTAAAGTAATATTTTTATTTATTTCATAAGGATTATGATGAAAGATTCTGAATCTATCATCTATTATGAACTTTCATAAATGATGAAAGATTTTTTTTCTCAAACGTTACTTGTATTATGAACCAAATAAAGTCATATGATAAAAACCTAAAAAATCAAACAGTAGTAAAAAATTTTATGAAGTTTATCTCCAAAATTTGATAGAATTTATATTGCTATAGAAAATGCAAAAGATATAAGTACATGAAGTTTGCTTTTAGTTAATGAATAAAAAGCAAATAGATCTTCCTATCAAACTTTAGAACGTATTTTTCACATGAAGATATATTATAAAAAGTAATAAAAAAATCAAAAATTAAATCTAAAAACACGTCAAAATGATAAATGTCATCTAGCACTCAAGACAAAGGACTCGCTTCAAAGAAGCGTCACCTAGGCGCTCGCCCGAGCCTAGGCGCGGGACGTTTCGAGCGAGTGCCTGGGTTAAACCAAGCCATCGAACCAGCGGTTTAGGTCTGGTTGGACCTCCGATGTTTTAGTTGGTTCAATCGAAATAACTAAAGCATCGATATCAATAGCAATCGAACTTCCCTAGCCCAAACTTTTTAATGTTTTTAATGAGTATATTAATGGCTCATTGCAAAAACATAAATCTTGTTTGACTTTTTAAAAACTTTTTCTTCGGTTACAATTAGAATAATATTAGCATTGATAATCTAGTAAAAATGATAAGTTTATCAATTTAATGTTTCATCAGTCTTCTAAATAGAAAATTATCAGGGAAGGTTTAAAAATCAGCTCGAAGGATTCGAAATTAAAGGATAAGAAGATAAAGTGTATAAATTTAATAAAACATTATATAGCTTGAAATAAGCACAAAGGGTATGGTAATTGGTAAGTACTTTCTTCAATATATATATTTTTTAAAAAAGGGTAAGCTAACTTTATAGTTAAAAGCCCAAAATTTTTATTGTTTATCTGTATATAGATGATAAAATTTATATTAAAAATTCATTAGATATGATTGCTAAATTTAAGAAAAATAGGATATCATAATTTGAAATGATTGATCTATGACTTTTATATTGTAACGTACGACATGATAAATAATTTAACTTAAAAGAATTCTAATAAATCTTCAAGAAAATAAGATGAACCAATTAAAATTTACTACGATGACAAATATTATTTTGTATGGATGCATCAAACACGTCAAAGTTTGATATCATCAATGATTCCTAAACTAGTTGATAAATATTTTTTTAACGGAATACTATAACATTGATGATTAGTTTATCGATATCTCTACAAAAATCTTAGCAGAAGAGAAATTTTATTATTTTTTAAGACAACTTGATCATTTTGAATTAAGAGGATATGATAAAATTAATTTAAATAGTTAAAATTAAATATAACAAAAGATAAAGAGTAAGATTATGATAAATGGATGAGTGATTATTATTTTTTGATACATGGATTAAGATAAGAATGAATGATTTTTTATTTAAAAAATTATAATATATCTTTCTACCACTATAAATATATTTTTGGATAAATCTAAAACATCGAAAGTATTTTTTTTCTCTTTATTTCTTTTATTATCTTCCATCCTTTCTCCATAAATTAAGAGGAGAGCCGACGTCTGCTCTCCTCTTCAACTGCACCCTTCGCAGCTGCTGATGTCACAGAAAGAGCTGCAAGCAAGCACATCGTTCTCTGGTTGCAGGATTTGCTTTGCTTGAGACGAAGAATAGGAAGAAGAAGAAGAAGAAGAAGAAGAAGACGAGTTGGGACGATGAATTCCTGTGTGGGGTTTCGTGCCGAATGGCGGTTTCGAGAATGATAGCGAAGGGAAGGGGCTGTAATCGTGACGAAAGCGGTGAACGAATTGGAAACGACAAGGTGGGGTGGTTGGCACAAGCGTTTGATTTCGTGATGCGAACGGGCCGCAAAGTAAGCAACGAAGTATGGAGCGTTGGTTGCGTCGTGTGGACGCAACGCAACGCAACGAAATTAGTGTGCGTGTCTTGTAATTATTCTTCTGATAAAACTCCTCTAAATTTTAATTTAGTTATAATTTGTATTTAGCCCCTTATTATTATTATTGTTATCATTATTATTATTATTATTGTTTATTGATTGATTTATTTTAGTCCGCAAATCCAACTAATTCAATAGACTATAAAAGCTCCCGTCTTTGCTCTAAAATGAAATCTTTGGCTTCTACTGCTCTCTTTATTGTTCTCGAGAAGGAGCTCTTTTCTTGTTGAGCGGTGTTGTGAGTGAGGCGGGAAGATGTGCGGAGGAGCGATCATCTCCGACTTCATTCCGACGGTGAGACCCGAGCGGCGGGTCACCGCCGACTACTTGTGGCGGGGTTTGAAGAGGGGCGGGGCCAATGGAGTGAAGACAAAGAAGAGTAACGGCCACCGCCGGGCTGTGAAGGATACTGAGGATGACTTTGAGGCCGACTTCCAGGAGTTCGAGTACGAGTCGATGGTGTCGGAGGTAGAGGACGAGGTGGAGCACGTCGATACGCCATTCGCTTTAGCCTCCACCGGTAACAACACGCTTGTTCTGGGAAAGAATCGGATTTGATACTGTTGTTCCTCCAAAAATTTGTTCTTTACGTTGGTGTGAAGTTGATTCGTTCGTGTTTCTTCTCCGTGTACGAATATGTTACGCCACATCGTTCTCTTCTTTTGTAATCAGACCACGTTAGGGGCGATATCTTCAAATTAGGTATTGAAAATGTTTGCAGGATTTTAGTCTTTACCTTGTTTTCTGGAGCGATATTTTCCCTGGAGACCAAGATCGGATTTTTCGCCTTGTCTTTTTTTAGTCTGCTTTTGCCGATGGTAGCTTGAAGGTCGAATTATCGAACAGTGAAGAATCCTTATTCTCTGATTATTGTGTCCTTCATGTCTTTAAAGACAATAATTTGGTTTGTTTATTCCTTTTTCGTTTTCTACAAGCACTGAAATATAGTGAAAGTGTTGGGATTATTTCCCTCTGGTTTTTCTTGTGATGTTGGCTTTGCTGTTGGTAGTGGTTTTCTTCTTCTTTCTTAGTGGAGGTTGTTCATCTGCTTTACATCTCTGTGTATCGTGTGAATTTGTGTGTCATTTTTGCTCCTCCATCCTGTTTAATTTTGTTTTGTTCTCTTCTGAATCTGATATCCTCAGCATGGTGAAATCATCCATTATATGTTGTGTGTCATATTTTGGTTTGACGTGGTCATCGTTTCTCAATACAAAGTTTTTATTTTTTAGTTTTTCTTCCCTGATTCTGCCTTTTGCATCTTCCAGATCTTTATTGCCTATTTTCCTTTCTAGTAGCCTTTTCTTTATTTGATTTTGATTGCAATTATTTTTGAATTTAGAATGAGAATCATAATATCGAGAGCTCACTTTGCTACTCTCTTAAAGAAAAGTTTTTTTAATTATTTTTTAACTGCATCATTCACTCTTAAACATACAGAATTAAGATGGAAATTTTACTTTGCTGTTCTCCTTGTTGTTGTTGTTGATTGATGTTGGCGTGGAAATTGTTAGTTGCCTTGAAGACCTTAGGCTTCTGGTCTTTAACTGATTGCACTGAATTATCCATTAAAACCACGTATATGTACATGTCATTGTCCATGCAATATCTAAACAATGTGTTTCATGCATGCTCTAAATGATATAAGGGTTGACAATTATTGAGGCTTGTATAAATCAGTAACTGTCATTAAGTCTATGAACTCTGATATCTGCTTTTCATTATTTTGAAATTGTAGAATGGAATCACAGATGTTCACTGATTTAAGAAATTTTAATGTTACGATGAGAACTTGTCAACTTACTTGGTAGGTTTTCTTAAGATGTCTCCTCGACCCTTCTTTCTTGTAAGCTCGCCCTCTTTTGAGTGGTCACTTTCTAAATAGGCTTCTCAATCTGGCAAACATCTATTTTTTGCTGGATCAATGTTTCAGGCTATTTAGTTATGATCTTTATCTTTTAAACCACATATTCTTAAATTGGATAATAAGAAATATAATAGTCCTCTAGGAATGTGAGTAACAGTTATTATCCACTGCTATGCACTGTTTCCTTTATCATAGACACATCTGCTTCACAATAACATTTTCAGTTCTGGTTTTAGCTCTCCTGATTTAGTAGCTCTAGTGTGAATTGATACTCTTAATTTCTATTTTGAGAAAAATGGTAAAGCAAGCAAAGCGGTCTAAATTCCTTCAAAATCTTGCACTAATTTGTTACTTCTGTTCTATTACTGTGGCAGATCGGCAAGTCACTCTGAAACCTGTAGAATTCAATGGCCCTGCAGCTAGGTCTGCTAAAAAGAAGAGAAAGAATCAATACAGGGGAATCCGTCAGCGTCCTTGGGGAAAATGGGCAGCTGAAATTAGAGATCCTCGTAAGGGTGTTCGTGTCTGGCTTGGGACCTTCAACACTGCTGAAGAAGCTGCACGAGCCTATGACGCAGAGGCCCGTAAGATCCGTGGCAAGAAAGCAAAGGTGAATTTCCCTGATGAGGCACCAACAAGTGTTCATAGGCACTCATTGAAACTGAATGCACCAAAGGCGCCCAAACCAAACCCACCAGAGAAGCTCAACTTCCACCAAGATGTGGATTATGTGAATGGACCAGATCAGGATTTCTATTCTGTTTTCGACTTCATTGAAGATAAGGAACCCATCAAGCAATCCATAAACTTTAGCTCCTTCAATGAGATTAAACAATCTCCAGCAATCGAGGAACCTGCAATTAATTTTTACTCTGATCGGGGAAGCAACTCTTTTGATTGTTCTAAATATGGCCATGAAGGTGAGCCTAAAACCCCTGAGATCACATCAATTCTTGCTCCGACTATCACTGAAGCTGAAGGAGCTGCATACCTAGCAGAAGGTGCTCCGTTGAAGAAACTGAAAAACAATGCTGGAGAAGTTGTGCCAGCTGTAGACTCTTCTGCCAAACTGTCTGAGGAGCTGTCTGCTTTTGAATCATACATGAAATTTCTGCAAGTACCGTATCTCGAAGGAGGCTCAGATGAACCTATTGAGAGCCTTCTCATTAATGATGTCACTCAGGATGTGAATGGTGTGGATCTCTGGAGCTTCGATGACCTGCCACCAGTGGCAGTCAGCGGTTACTGAGGGACCTCATATTCTACCAACTGGTGTCCTGTAAATAAGATGCAACCGTACGTGTATTGTTTATGTTGTGTTGTTTAGGTATCACTGCTGATGGAAATATGGAGAACCAGAAATATTGGCAATGTTCGCCAGCGGAACTTTGGTTTGTGGTATTTTCTTTAGTTGCTACATGTCTTGTTTATGTCGTGTTGCCTTTTTTTCTGTTTGCCTGTCATGTACTGAACTTGGTTCTTCATAGTTAACCGGTAACCATGTTCAAAACTGATCAAATATTGCTTTTGTTCAATGTTAGTAATTGTTGCCACTAGTTATGTTTGGACATAATCGTGCTGCACTTCTGCAGTTGCATTGTGTATACTTGATCTGTCTTGTTGCTCTACTCTACAAGGAATATTAGTATCTTCAAAATGACATCCTTATGTTCAATGTTAATAATTTCTGTTTTGGGAAGGAAGGTCTATTGGAAAACGAAGCAGAAAGATTAAAACCGATTTTTGATAACAGATAATAATATAATATCTGAAATCTAATATTTTTCATATTTTAGTTGTTGCAAAGCTATTGTTATTGTCCCTTCTAGTGAACTTCATGTGGTGGTAGATGTCAGTATTGGCTATTGACTAAAAAACTATCCTCTTTGAGACTAAATGTGAACTTCTGTGTGGGAAAAGGATCTACTTTGGAGATCTGAGTTCTTATTTGTTGTATCATCTGTTTAACTTATGATTTGATGGAAATGGCAAATTCAAAACTGAAGTTATTCTTAGTTAATGTGAATGACACAGAATTGGTTGGTTTAGATTAAGAACTAGGTTTTCTGAAGCAATAAAGATGGCCTGTCACATCCTTTGGAATTAATATAAAGATCATTTGGATGCTGGTCACTCTCAAAGAGATTTTTGCATCCTGTGTGCCCAACTTTATTGGGGTATGGATGTGCTAATTTTTGGTGTGTCATTTAAGGCTGATTGGCCACTTGAGTATATTTTAGCCAAAAGTCACAGATGCAACTTGCATCAGATATCTTAGGTTGGGTAAGCATTTATGTGTATGCTTTGCAGACTGCACATTGGCATCCTAATGCTTTGTCCCCAATGGCCAATGGAATCTTTAATATTCTTCAATGTGTTGAAGACTGGTTCCACCAACTTGACCTCATGACCATCTTTTGTGTGTGAAGGTTTTTGGTGATTGGAACTTGGTTCTGCTTCATCCATCCACCCATGTCAACTTCATGATTGCCTCTGATCATTGTGAAGTCAGCATCCAAACCTCAGCATCATTAGAGTGTGTCAACCCTTTCTTCCTAATATAGTCTAACATCACAAGTTGTTGATTAGCTATGATAAAACAAATAGTTAGCCCTGATAGATTCATAGTGATGAGAGATAAATTGCTCAGACTATTAAATGTGAATGCTACTAGTGAACTAGACATCTGATGTGGACTGATTCCATATGAATTGTCCCACAGCCTTGTCCTTATTCTTGCATTTGGACTTCAAACTTTGATTGCATGTTTTTGTGCCAACTGCAACCATCATATTATCCACAACAAAGTAATCATTTTGTCTAGGCTGAAGAAAGCTATGCAAACAGCACTCTTCAACAGATCTTGGATGCCAATTCTATGTAGTACCAAGACAAAGATATATCTTACAGAGGCCACTAGGATTAAAGTGCTGGTGTTCACTCATGTTCTAAAAACTGAGAAGAAGAAACAAAGAAAAGGAAAAAGTGAAATGTGAATTAGAAGATAAGGTTTTGTATTAAAAATATATTATTGGTACCAAATCCATGATATGCAAAAGGTTGACTTCAAAACTATAACAGATAGTGATGAACTGGTAAGTTGAAACTAAACACAACATTCTTCCTTTAATTGATGATCTAATTTTTTACAGCTTTGAACCTTAACCCAAATCTTGAACATTGTGATATGGGCCCACAAACAAATATTTTCAATTGGGTACAGTACCTTTTTTTCCACTAATTGTGGGCCCATTTCCATTAAAATTCTTTAGGCTCAAATATTTATTACCTCTTGCAGACAATAGATTGAGACATATTAATTGAAGCATTCTTTTTCAAACTTGCACCATTAGTTTAATCATCAACTATAATATTTTTATTTGACATGTCGCAAAAAAGTTATTATTTGCTCCTTCAACATCAATTGAATATTATCTGTCAAGGTTTAAGTCACGAAAAAAAATATATATTTTGTCTATGGGATCAAGACTACTCAATAATAATATTTTTCCGAATCTGAGAGGAACGTTTAAAATATTAGCCCGTGTTTTTTTTTTATTATGAGTCAACAAAGACCGAGAAATAATTTAGAATATTCCTTGTTAATATCTACCATAATGTTTTAGTTTGACTAATTCAGCAGCATCCAAGAATGAATTAGGTATATAGACAGCAAAGAACAACCTGCATCAACCATGGATAATGAACACAAAATATTTGGACTTTGTGATTTTATTTGAGCAAAACATTGAACTGTGTTGTATCTCTGCGACATCAAATTGATATTTCATTTCCATTGAATACAAAATGGCCACCATATGCAGTCAACTCTGGCACTCGAAGCAATAATGATCCTCCTGAGACATTGGAGATGCACAGATGTAGCAGAAACACTGTCCACACCTTCAAACATAAACCAAAAGAGAGATTAGATCGATAGGTTGCTCATAACATCTACAATATGGTACGAGGATAGGATAATGATTTTAATGATTATTATATCTTTAAACAAGTATCAAACAATTCTATAGCAAATAAGAAATAACTACAGAAGAACATTTTGCTTAGCATTTGTTTAGTTGCAATTTGAAGTAAACTTCAAATAAATTTAAAAGAAAATTAAACCTAAATTGTCATATATTGTCTGTCTCCCTTTGGAAGGAAAACCTCATGGCAAGGGATCATCAAATTATAAATTAAGTGAATTCCTTTTAGAGAAACAAGAAGAAGCCTGAGAAAGTTGACGAGAAAAGCAAGAAACATGGTGAGCACTTGGATGTAGAAAAATGGTTTCTTTATGGTTTGGTTGCATTACCTGCACCTCATGAACCTACAGCCATCAATCCTCTCCACGGTGATCATACAATTAGGGCACCTCTGCCACTTCTGCTTTGCTGCCAGCTCCCACAGCTGGAGATCCTCTCTCCCCCTCTCATCCTCCCCTAGCTTCTGGAACTCCCTGCAGTCCAATCCATGGTGCCATGGCTCCTTGCACTGAGCACAGAACAGCCTGTTGCAATGTGGGCACTCTGATGCTGATATCACCTCCTCCTCCTCCTCCTCCTCATCACCACCACCACCAGCTTCCAGGAGAGCCGAGCAGTCCTTGAAAGGACAGTAAAACTTGGCCCTGATCGTCGACTGACACAGACTGTCGCACCATCGCTCGAAGGTGTCGCTTGGGAGCAAGTATTGGAAGCTTAATGGCTCCAAAACTCCAACTCTGCATCCTGGTTCGGGACAGCGTATGTTGGCTGCATCCTCATCGAGCTTCGCGGATATGTACATGCTCATGCAACCCAGGCAGAACTTGTGGGAGCAGAAATTGATGTCCACGAATTGGTGGAGAGGTTTGGATTCCATGCAGATGTTGCAGTAGGCCATGAGTTCAGACGGAGCCATTCGTGGGCAGATGTTGCTCCGTATGATCTCCTCATGGAATAGCATCTCTTGAAGCTGGAGCACCTCCGCCAACATCTCATCATCGCTCGTTCCAAACACTTCCTCCTCTTCCTCCTCCTCCTCATCGATGACCGAGAAGTACGTATCATCATCATCATCATCATCATAATAGTCATTGCCATCGTGCCGATGTTTGGATTGACTCTCCCCCATTTCTTCCTCTAGAGATCGAAGCGATGGTGATTACCGAATCATGAAGACATACACACATATATAGCGATGCAATGGTAAGTTAGAGGCAATTTAGTCGCTGAGACTTCTGACTTTTTGCTGCTTCAGAACTGCTTCCAATCAAGTTCCAAGCAATGCCGCCTGCTCCCGTTCATAAGATGACGGCGTCAAACGCCGTGTGTAGAACTGACATCAAGCAGAACATTCTCGTACTATGCATCATGAAGTCATCTCCATCCATCTATCAAAATCAAAGAACGAGTCTCTCGAATGGTGTACTTTTCCATGGCCAGCTGTTTTCTCCCTCGACAATTTGGTACGCTAAACAGATTGACTTGCTCATCTCTTCTTCCCCTACAAACAAATAATTAGTACAGTGGTAGCTGATGAAGGCTCTTCCAATCCCTTATTATTATTCCTTGATGCTGACAGAACGCAAAATTTAGGCCATGCAGACTCTATTCCAACTACTAATCGTGTAAACTACAGAAAACTTGAATCCATTAGCGATGACTACGGAAGACTGGTAGTTTTCTGCGACTAGGAAACTTGGCCCTGAAGCCAACCACTGTGCTGATGACTGGAAATGTCTCAGCTGATTCAGAACCAGAAGACATCGGAAGGCTGAGAAGATGAACATTGCTGATATGTCCGGAAACCCTTGTGCTGGATTGACTTGGTTTCGATCTACGTCACCAACAATTCCGCGTACCGACAGCTTCTTGTTTATTAGTTGTATAGCAGCAGCACAACACACGGAGACGGAGTCGATGAAGTGTGTGTGTGGGGATGAAGGAAAGGTGGAAACAAATGGTTGACTGTTTGTTGCAGGACGCGGTGCGCGTTGGATTGCGTCGCACTCCTCTTACCATCCTGTCCCTTGCGTTGACTTTTCAGTTGCCCGCTAGCCAAAGAAAACAGCGGCAGTTCGACGGCTGCATACGCCTCCAAGGTCGAGTGAATCTAAAAGAAGCCGAAGAATGTCAACCCTCATGAAAGAGATCTCTGGAAATGATATGATTCTTGTGGTTATTGAAGGAAGATGCTTAACCATGCACATCAACCATTTCGTACGATTGGAAGCATCTGCCGAGAAACGCCCACAAGAGGCGGCTCACCGACAAAGATATGCCACTCCTTAACGTGGTTGACTAAGGAACCATAACCTGTCTTTATCTCTCCCAATCCAATACCGTTTTCTTTGTTGGACTTGCAGATCTGAAAATTAGGGCTCAGCTGTTCTTATATACACCATGCTCTTAGAATTCCTCTACGATAAATGTAAAGACAATGACAAAATTATTTGGACCAAAAAAAGCATATAAGAAGAAGATTTGTTCTCGTAGTGAAGAATTTAATTGTTTTTTTAACCTAATCATCTAAATCTTATGTTCATTGTTTTCTGGTTGTGCATTTTATTTGTTCTCCTCTCCCATATTTACATCAATTAATTATCTTTCTTTTATCAAGTGTGGCATTAAGCTCTCTCATCCCCAACATTTTCATTTTCATTGAAGAGTTCAGCACAAGAGCTATCCACACTTTCACTCACACAAGTAAACCAAAGACATACTCTAATCATCTGTGAATCACATGCTATTAGTTTAGTCATATGATTGATTCTGCAGAAATCAACTTTGCTCAAAAAAACAAAAAAACTGAAAAGTCAACTACTCTTTCTGCTGACAGAGGTCACTGTTTGTTCCTCAGATATACATTCTACTCTCTTACTTGTGTGCTACGTATAGATAAAGCTTAAAGACTAAAGCTATTATATTAAGGGTTAAACTTTTTTCTTTGCCTACCTGAAATTATTATTCTCATGTGAGAGATTGAAAATTGTATTTACATGAAGAGGTAATCAAAGGTTAAAGAATTTTTGGATCCAGGAATGATTACAGGCGAATCTGAACAAATGGCAATGAGGTGCCACAACAGCTGAGAGCTGTTCATATTCCTTTTATGAGATGAACAACTATGTTTGCCTGCAGAGTGTATATATGCAGACAACACCAGAAGAAAACAGTCAGTGGAAGGAAGGTTTCAGGCTTTTCCGAAGGTCACCAGCAAGAAGACAAGGATAGCCAAGCAGACACAGAAGAACAGATGTCACTGAATGGTACAGTTCCCCCGTCGGTATAGTCTGCAGCTCTGAACTCTGCTCATCCACTTGTTCTTGCAGCTTCTGCATTACAACACCTTTCCTTCCTTTCCAATATGGTTCCTGGATGAACTCTAGTTACTATTGCTGGCATCTTGATTGCATCAGTTTGCCGAATAGATGATGCAGTGACAACTACAATTGCTGTTTGCTCTTCATTACATGAACTGGAGATTCAAAAGCACAGAACATAACATGGATGTTGATAGTAGTGATAAACTTGATGCCAATTCTCAGTTTTAGCACTCATATTTCCTAATAAATGATCTAATCATGATATCTTTCCTAAAGGAAGTCCTTGTTCTCAAACACTACAGCAAGAATCACTATATGAAACTTAAATAGCAAAAGAAATTAAACTTCCGTGGCGATTGTTTTGCCGAGGAACACATCTTTAAAATGTCAGCTACACCAGGAATACTCTCTCCTCAGAAGGAAACCTGCATTTAGGACATCTATGGGATTTATCATCCACAGGACCTGCACATATGTAGCAGAATGTCTTCCTGCATCTGCAAGAGAATGAAGAGTTGTTTAATGCAAAACCTGAAACAAGCACTACATTAACATTGAAAGACTACTAGCTTTCACAAATAGCAACTATACAATCATTTCAAGGTTTCAGTCCCCTCACAACATCATTTTTAAGACACCAAAGTCATACAAGAGATCAAGTGAATCATACCATCTGAAGTTATCAACGAAAGTAAGACTGCCATGAGTAGTACAGAAAATGAAATAACAGAGAACTGACATAAAACATAACACAGGATTACCGACAGGATGAACAAGGGGAAATTAGTTGATTGAATTGCCGAAAACTAAGAGGCCGACTATGGTGTACATTTTGCCTTCCAAGCATGTTTCTTCATGCAATCATGAGCCGTTTTCAGAATGTGTTGCAAGAGAGATGGTCCACAATGCTCAAGTTAAGCTAAAAACTCAGTAATGTTGTTAAAATTTTCTAGATAATAGGTCCGGATTACTTACATGCTATAGACACAAATGTTACATATCAAGCCTATGTCTAGTACAAATATAGGTTATGCAGAACATCAGAATTGACTTGTCGAGTGCTGGTCTCCATCACCTGAATATTAGAAGATCATGAGATCCATTTTACTGGCTTTTAGAAACTTTTAGTGAAATAGTAGGATTCTAGAAGTTAATTCAATAAAGTCAAGGAATCTTAGCTGAAGGAAAAGCAGATCAGGGGAAGCAACTATTAGGAGGCCAGTGAGTGAATGAATTCTTAGTTGGAAAACAAGCATCCATGTGTGTCAATTTTCTGAAACACCATATGTATCGTTAATTCGCCGATGCATTATGGCATTCATTTCCACTTGTACTTTTGGCTGTATGTTTCTTTCTAGCTCATGTCATGAAGCTTTAGTCCTAGTCCTAGTGTCCAGTTTCATGGAGAGTTCTTAAGCCCTATCTAAGAAAGGAATTAGGCAATATAATCAGCATAAAGTGTAAGTAGATCACAAACTTTCACTTCACGATGTTAATTTTCTCATGTTCCTCTGCATCAAACCCAATCTACGGTGATGTCAAAGAGAAACAAGTAAGGAATCTTTGTAGAGGGAAGGCTAAGAGTTCAGTGAAGTCAAAGACATGAGGCAAACTAAATACCTAATTTTGTCATTGATGTTTTTTCCTTCAGATTTATACTGCATGCTTATTTAACAGTTGCTAATTGATAATTGTGTGGCAGAAAGATCACGAATGGAACTCTATTCAATTTTAATTACAAGAAATTGGGTCCTTGAAAAACTAATTAAGCTCTTTCATTTTTCCATTGCAGTTTTTTGTAACATAAAAGATCTCTCATCTGATCAATAGATTGCTTATTCTCCAGAGTACCTAACTATGCAATGTAGAGCAATAAAAAAAAAATTCTTCTAGAGTTCCATCCTCATACATTGGCTGAATCATAGATAATATGAAGGCTCCCTAATGATCAACCAATTAGGTTTCTTCTTACTAGAGAAAGATCAGATACTTCAAACTAGAAATTGGATGCCTAGTGAGAGAACAACCATGGTAATGCTGATGTAGATGTTAGAAGAAAAAGTTGCAGAGAGAAAGAAAGGGCATCACCTGCACTTAATGTAATTGCAACCTGAGGTCCTTTCCACAAAGAATCCACAGTTGGGACACCTCTGCCACCTCTTCCTCGTTGCCAGCTTCATCAGATCTCTGCTCTTCTTATCCGGGCACAGCGTCTCGTAGTCCTTGCACGAGTAACCCGAATGCCAGGGCACTCTGCACTGCGCGCAGAACATCCTCATGCAGTGCGGGCACTTCGAGTGGTCGACTGCATCTCCTCCGTCGTCTATCAGCAGCGCCGAGCAATCGCCATACGGGCAGTAGAACTTGGCCGACCCGAGGATCCCTTCCTCGCACAGCCTGCAGCCCCAGCGATCGAACACCTTCGCCGGCAGTATCAGCCGACACATCTCGGGCTCCAGAAACCCGGTCTCGCAGTTGGGGTCAGGGCAGCCCACCCGCGCCTCGTTGGCCTCCACCTTCGATGCCACGTACTGGCTCACGCAGCAGGCGCAGTACGTGTGGGAGCAGCCCTTGATGGCCATGCATTCGAACGAGTACTTGTCTTCCATGCAGATGCTGCAGTGGGCGTCCGGCGCGGGCGGCGGGGGGTTGTTCGAAGATTGCCCCAACTCCAGTGCGATCAGTCTCGCCACCTCCTCATCGTCGTGGTCGTCCAGCTTGAAGCCCCGGAACCCATCGAAGTCGACGAGAGCAGGGAGGCCTTGGTACTCGAGGGACTCGGCGATCGCGATGTGGTAGAGGACCTCCTCGAGGTTTTGTGCGTCATCTCGGTGGTGAGAGTCACAACCGTCGTCGGCCACAGGAATCACGGAGCCATCGTCGCCGGAAGTTTGGATTAGATCAGCATCGCCGGGGAGGTGATGCCTGGCGTCTTCTTCTCGCTCGACGTTGTTGAGATGGTTCTGTAGATCACCCCCCGGGTGAGTGGCGGCTCCACGTTCGGTGGCTGTGGCTTCTCCATCAACCGAAGGCATCACGGGGCCATCGTCGCCGGATGTTTGGATTAGATCAGCATCGCCGGGGAGGTGATGTCTGGCGTCTTGTTCTCGCTCGACGTTGTTGAGATGGTTCTGTAGATCACCCCCCGGGTGAGTGGCGGCTCCACGTTCGGTGGCTGTGGCTTCTCCATCAACCGAAGGCATCACGGGGCCATCGTCGCCGGATGTTTGGATTAGATCAGCATCGCCGGGGAGGTGATGTCTGGCGTCTTGTTCTCGCTCGACGTTGTTGAGATGGTTCTGTAGATCATCCCCCGGGTGAGTGGCGACTCCACGTTCGGTGGCTGTGGCTTCTCCATCAACCGAAGGCATCACGGGGCCATCGTCGCCGGATGTTTGGATTAGATCAGCATCGCCGGGGAGGTGATGTCTGGCGTCTTCTTCTCGCTCGACGTTGTTGAGATGGTTCTGTAGATCATCCCCCGGGTGAGTGGCGACTCCACGTTCGGTGGCTGTGGCTTCTCCATCAACCGAAGGCATCACGGGGCCATCGTCGCCGGATGTTAGGATTATATCAGCATCGCCGGGGAGGTGATGTCTGGCGTCTTCTTCTCGCTCGACGTTGTTGAGATGGTTCTGTAGATCACCCCCCGGGTGAGTGGCGGCTCCACGTTCCGTGGCTGTGGCTTCTCCATCAACCGAAGGCATCACGAGGCCATCGTCGTCGGATATCTGGATCGAAGCAGCCCTGGGCGACTCGGCCAAGGCAACTCGGAGTTGGTCTCCGCAAGTACTCCCCTCCGTTCTGCGTTGGGTGGGTGAGCGAGGCCCATCTGCATCGCATTTCACCTCGGTAAAGAAGCCTAAGCATCTGAATAGATAGCGGAAGATCGGCATTGGAGGACGCACACAGCGCAGTCGTCGACAAAGACGAGGTGAGAGAGGAGGAGGAGGAGGGGTGGAGGGTTTTACGAGGTTTCTAAGGGAAGGATAGAAGCATCCACATATATTGGAATCCTCGCTACACTAAATCTCTTTATCGGTATCTCATAATATCCAAATAAGATCTAAACTGCACAATGGATTTCCAACTCCCTTCGATTAGTACCTAATGTTATACGTCTCTTTAGGAAAAGAAGGATAAACCACCACAGTAAATCCATCTGCAAATTAAATTATATGTATCAGTTGGAGAGACCTAAGAAGAAGAAAAGAAGGTGATAAAAGGATAAGTGTTTTGAGGGTGGCGATAAATATGAAGCTCGAGAAAGGAAAACAGCTACGGCTGTTTTTGGAAGATAGATCAAAGTTGGGAAGCTATGCATGCATTCATAGTTAGATGAAGCCTTTTCTGCAGTCACTTCTGCAGGTAAAGGTGGTGAGTGGTTCAGATGTAGAACAGTTGTTGCGCATTTATCATGCAAATATCACCAGTAATCTTATTATGGCTTAGATGAAGGTCTTAATCAAATCAACAATATATATAAATTTTCTTTTTTTTTCTTCTCACTGTGCCCTCAATCTTCAAAAATATAGTATGAGATTCATAATAATACAAATCAGTATCTAAAATATTACATCGTGTGTTCAAAAAATTTATATGTATCATTTATTCTCGTGTGTTCAAATCGGTTCGAACCGAACCGTTAAGGGTTGAACTGAACCAAACTAAAAAACTAATTTGATTCTATTAACTTCAAAATACTTTCAACCGAAACTAGTTTGGACTTATCCAATTGATTAATTGATTTTTTTTTAATTTTAATTAATTTTAAAATTAGAATCTAAATCCAATTAGGCCGATATTTTCAAAAGTTTTTTGTTTCAATCGTCATCCTTAACATTTTCAAAAAGTTTCTATCTGGCTATTGATAAGGATTAATGTGAGGAAAAAAATGATAACATAAATAAAAATGTATAATTATACTATGCCTTTGAGGTTTTTATGTTGGTTTGAATCGATTAATCGAATTAAGGTAATGAACTTAATTTGATTGATATTGGACAATTCATATCGATTAATCGAATGGAAGAAAAGTATGTAAACTGATCCAACTTTTGTTATGGTTCAAGTTCAAGTTTGATTTGAACACCCATACTCACCATGCTCTTAATCTTGAAAAATATTATGACATTCATAATAATCCAAACCAGAATCTAAAACAACATGGTTGGCTATGATATAGTAGTGTTGAATGATCATGATTGTACACACCATCTATTTCTATATCATCATTTAATGTCCAAAATAGTGCTAACAATCATGCTCATCCAAAAAATATTGATCATCATATGTTCTTAAATGGACAAGGATAATAAAATTTGTACCTAAAATAGTGGTTATTAACCTTGATAATGGGGTCCTCTGTAGTCAGTATTAACAGACTTAATTCTATGAACGGCAAATGTTGCATTCAAGTGTTATGGTTATCCTTTATATCGTCAAACAAAATATTTACCCACACCATTAGATGTCATCGGATCACTATGTTTCGATCATACTGATACATAAAACATTGGCCAGGCCAAACCGATATAGTGCGATACAAGATGAGAACATAGCAAGCAAGCAACTTGCAACCATGATAACTTCAGGAGCTAGTCGACTGCCGGAAATGCGAGTCCCGGGTATTTAGTACAGAAAAGGTAGAGAAACTTTGATCTTAAGTTTATTCGTTTAGGCAAATACAAGCAGAACATACACCAAAGACTTGAGAATTAGGGAAAAAGAATTGATGATTGTTTAGCTGCAACCATGTCTATATCGATATTTACATTGATTTGGACTTTGGGTTTCTATTCAGAGGAGCCCAGAAGAATTTGCCTACATATACTTTTGTCAGCCTATGGAAGATGATGTCGCTGCCGAATAATGCAAATTTTGCACCTCTCTCAATGAAGCTGGGATGAGTAAGGATGATGCTTCAACACAAAAACATGTCCACACCTTGCGGTTTCAACTTTCCAACCCATTTCACTCTTTCTATGGCATCATCAAGTCAGTGTGCAATCTCGGCGGAATGATCAGGACCGGGTGGGCATGGAGCAATTTAACTAGAACGTACAACACATCAATGGCATAAAGTCTCTCCGTAATTAACCCAACGGATAAAGCTGTCTGAAAATTCACCAAGGGTATCGTAGTTTCGAAGAGGATCATAAGTCATCTCCTTTTCCAAAGTTTGCTTTCCCTGCAACAAAGATAGTCACAAACTAAATTATACATAACTATAATTTAGCTAACAGTTCAATACAGTAACAAGTTCTATTAAATTATTTATATGCCAAAAAATTGATTGATTCGAAATCCATGCTGCTGCAAAAGTAATGGCAAAGCTTTTACTCAAGGGATAAAGCATGAACATGCACATACAGTTTATAACTAAATTATACATAACTATAAATTAGCTAACAGTTCAATACAGTAACAAGTTCTATTAAATTATTTATATGCCAAAAATTGATTGATTCGAAAACCATGGTGCTGCAAAAGTAATGGCAAAGCTTTTGCTCAAGGGAGAAAGCATGAACATGCACATACAGATATATAACCATATGAAAATATGGTCAACTTTGTGCAAGTACCAACTAATCTTACAACTAAAAATACATAGATGAATACAGAGACATACATGTACAATAAATAACTGCAAAATAGAGAAACATGAGGTGGTATTCTCTATCGTGTATTATGTGTATAACTTCTAGTTTCTCGAAAAATGTAACATCAAATTGGATCCAAAGTATTGCAGAATGTTAGTTGAATGATTAGCCCCTTTGATGCTTCAGTGGAAGAACCCAAACAAACAGTTTTTCCTGTTTTATGGTACTTGTAGATCAGGAACAACAGGTTGATCACTCAATCAGACAAGGTTCACAAGAGTCTTTGGTACATAGACAATATTCTTCCAAAGTGCTAGCAGCTCAATTCACAGAATATAATGTATATATGCTTTATTTCTTCTTTTTTCTTAGAACAGCTAAAGATGGACTAGAATATGACGAATCACAAAGTAATATAGCTCTGTTTATATGTATGCATATTTCTATATTAGTAAATCTATCAACAAAACTAACTTGGTTTCACAATTACACTCCATATAAATAAATAAATTTCCACATGTAAGATCATCATCTGTCAATATTATGTGATCTGAATATTTCTACAATCAAATTCCATTAGATGCAAGAATAATTATGTAATAAAACCCATTCTGGAAAAAAAACATTTTAAAGTTTGCCTGACATTTGCATCTGCAGGGACTAACAGTTCTGTGATATTATTCCATTCAATTTCTGAGGACTAAGTATTTTAACTTAAGAGGAACCAAATTGATAAAGAAAAGTAAAGAAGTAATTCATTTCAGTATTGAAAAATGTTCAATTCGTCAATGAAGTTCTGACTGGAAAAAAAATACTAAGGTCATAAGAACAAGCATACTGACCTTAGTGCCAGATCCATTTTCACTTAGAGGTGGGGTTGCCTCAGCATTTATGCCATTAACATTTTCAGTAGAAAAATTCTCGAGTGGGGAGTTCAACCTGCAGCAACATACATTTTTATTTATTTTAATATCTCAGAATTTTAGGTTAAATATTTGCACAGAAAGAGATTATTTGAAACTGTTCTATTGGACACAACATCTGATCCAGATAACTACATGGGCCTAAACAAACAAAAGTTTGATTTAGCAATTCATTCTACTGAGTTTAAATGCTCGTTGACCAAACGAGGCTCAATTTAAAAATTAAAAAAAAAAACACTATTGGTGCCACAGAAATTTGCTCAGACAGCTTAACCTTAAGTGGATCAGAGAGGCCAAAGAATTAAAAGAGAACTGACTTTGCACTTGGTCTTCATTGTTAACATTCAGCACAAACAGATTATTTTTCAGTCTGCACTGACAAGAACAACTTTAAGATGATCAAGATGGGCAACAGAATGGAACAAGTGATCTTGAAGAGATGGGGAGGTTAGTAGTAGTAAGCAACTCTAAGATAAATTCTGAATTTCCTTGAACCCAGAAAGTACCCTATGTGCAAAAGTAGAGATCAAGATGGAATCCAATCTATATTATTCTTGTGATATTAATAGAAACTCAAAACTGATATTCATATAATTATCGACAAAGATTCTTCTGCAACATGTATCTATAGGGTCACTCAAGTGACCAAACATTGGTATTGCATGAACAAACTATGGAGAATCAGACATCCAACTAAGCATGAGAGACACATGGAGTCCAGAAAATCAAAAGAACAAGACCTAGCAGATGAACATCATAGCAGTATTACAACTAAAGGATTACCTATCGCAAATTTCTTCATCACATGAATTACCAGATGATGACAGCCAATCAAGATCCAGAAAATTCGAATCCCCGTGTTCATAGACAAAAGTGTGCTCACTATCTGCAAACAGTTGCCTTCCAGACATCATGGGAGTGTACCTAAAGAAGATAGGTAAAGAAAGTTAGACTACTTATGATAATGAACAAATTATCAAGAAATCCCTTACCGAAGTGCATCAGGCAGGAGCATCACAAGCCATTGATCAGTGCATGAAATTAATGAAGCAATATAGCTAAACCATGCTGTGCTAGATCATAGAAAATCAAAACTTTACTCAGAGACCAGTAAGGTGAAAAAATGAGTTCATCTTCTTCCAGCAACAAAAGTTACACAAGAATACAAGTGTGTGTAGTCTTCTAGTTGTAAGGTTTAGGCAATTAAATATGAAAAATGCTTTAGATTTATTTCTACTGCTGTCTAGATGCAAGTTTTCTTTTAAAAAGATGACTAACTTTTAAATTATGCCCAAAAAATAAGAAAAAAGTCAGAATTTAATTTTTTATCCAATGAGACTGCAAACTGAAGCAACTGACCTGGAATATGATATATCACTTTCACAAGTTGAAATTTCTGGTGTTGAATCAGAAAGATTCTTTTGATGCTCCTGTTGATTTCTTCCCGATAATGTTGAGGTTTCTCTCTGACCAACAGGATGGCCGGAGAAAGGCATATTGCTTTCACAAAGAATGTTGCCATCTGATAAGGATCTTTTGATAAATGACCTGAAAATATATGAATATCAACTAAAATAACACATACATATTTAAATTCTAGACTATGTTATAGATTCAAAGGCCTGATGACGCAATTCATGCTGTCAAGGACATCAAACACTGGAAGAATATCATCCAAAGAAAAATTGTGGGTCTTGATCTTGCTTTGCTCCTAAAGGCCTTAATTTTGGAGTCAACAAACATCTAGGTAAATCATAGAAAGGCACCTAGATTTTACAGTATTCTGGTGAACTGTCCATAGACTTAACTTGCACAAATTGTTTTGAGTTCTAACTTATTTAGGCTGTAGGAGATCTTCATCGTAACTGAAACATTCAAATGGACTTCCCCTGCATTTTTCATACACTTAAAAATGAACTTTATTGGTTCATTCACAGTACCAAGATCTTTTCTTGTATCCTGTAGAACTAACTTTATTTATTTAAAAAAGATATTGGACCTGATAGCAGCATTTGAAAATCATAAAGGAATAAGAGATCATGCAATTACAAGAATTTTAGACGAGGAAAAGAAGTACATAGAAAGATTAATCTCACTGAGGGGAAAAGAAGACAGCAAAAGAAAAGATGTGAAGGCAAGCCTTTCTAATCATGGCTTGATAAGGAAGCTGAAGATGTTGTTTATCAAGCACAACAAATACTCAAAAATATACCTGGAATATTCGTCAACAAAACCATGAACACTTTTCCCCACATTACAATGCTGATCAGAGTCCAGCTCCCATATTGCTGGTTTCCCTTGTTGAGGATGGAAATGGCCTAGAAATCTGCATTTTACAAGGCCGATTAGTTGAGAAGGGAAGTTTAGTGGAGATCGCAAAAAACTGAAACTCAGTTTTGATAATTTAAGGTAATATGTTTCAGAGAAAATGAATGAAAATCACTGCTTTCAACATACAAATTTATTGCAGCCTGCTTTTCAGCATCCATATAGGCATTGCTGTAGTATCTTTGAAGTGTTCTAAAGAACTCTTGAGATTGTACTGCTGCTTTCCAAAGGCCTCTTCTTTCAGAGAATATCTATCAAGTATCACAGAGCAAATGACAAACCCATAAGTAGATCAAGATGCCCTTCACATGTGAAAAATAATAATATGAAGAACAAAGCACTTATTATCTTAATTCTTAAGTACACTAGAAGAAAACAAGTAATAACCAAATTTGGAACTACAGTTGGTCTAGAATTCTAAGACAAAAGAAGTTGCTCATATTCATAAAAGTATATTAACAGCCATTCTAGACCATGTAGAAGTTTTTCTCTAAGACCCACACAGAAGGGCAAATCAGTAAATAAAGTAGTCAAGAAAAACTGTATCTGCAAACACACTGGAAATTACACCACTTTGATTAAAATTAAAACAGTTAAACTTCTTATTAACTTCATTATGAAATGATGAGTAGAAAGTTCAAATCAGTTCTTGAAGTTGAAAATGATAGAGAATTTTCTAAAAATCAGAATAATCAAACTATTGATGCAACTTATCATATATGTTTGCTTTTCAGATTTAAATAACGGTGTATAGATGGATAAACACACAAATATTTGTATTTCTATGTAGTATACAAGTTAGATTTACCAAATCATGCATTGATGATTAAAGCCATTCTCTTGTATCAGTTTTGATGTGCAACAAAATCAAAGATCAGTTGGTTTCATTAAATCCATTTTAATGACTTGGAAGGATCCAAATCTGTCGAAGTTTAGTTTCTTGGTAACTCAAATGCTTGGGTCGAGATTTATAAGTCTTGTTTTCAAGTGACATAACATGCAGTATGTTTTATCATGAAAACTCTACTAAAATCACCTATTATATTTTCATTACCAAATTCCATTTAACAAGAAAGAGAAGCTTGGATTTATATATGAGCCCTAGCGGAAGCAAAGAATTGGAACTTGAACCATAGGGTATCACAATCTATTCACAACCTTCTTCACAAGTGAGCTCTGTGTTTTATAAGCAATTTAGGAAAATATTCTCCAAATAAGTCCTTATCCTTAAAGCAAAATATTTAATCTCAACAACAATTAAGCAAATGGTTCTTACAGAACCCAATGTTCAACCATTTTATCACCTATCATTCTTTTCAAACCTTAGAGAATGGGGCTTCCATAGAACCCAATTATTGACCTCATGACCTTTATTATTTAGATAAATGCTAACTAGTTGGGAATAAAGTGTCAATTTAAAAGTTGAAACAGATAGCTTTACTGAATGTTTCATCAACTTTATGGAAAACAATATTTAGCTGTCAGACAAAGCAAACAATATTTCCCATCGACCAACTATGACAACAGACCACAACACTAAAACCAAAATTATTAAGTTCACATTCTGCAATTTCAGAAAAAAAAACATATTGGGTTTCTCCAAAAATTAAGATTTGTTCAGATTGACTAGGTATTCTGGGTATAAATTCTCCAGTCGAAAAAGTATGGCCATGATATCTTTATTGTTAAATGTTCATATGCGTGTGAATTACAGATGTGTGTAGAAAGCTAGCATGCCAAAAAAGTTGAGAAGTGTAACAGTTTTAAAACTTAAATCCTAACTTGCAAACATATAAAAGGACTTGGAAAAGCTCCAACTATTTTAGCATATACACATTCAATGTAAAGATTGTGCTGTTTCTACAAATAAAAGAACATGTACTGGCAAATCTAGTAAAGCACAATGCTTTATATACATCACCTAAAACGCTGATGTTCTATTTTCCTTTAATGAAGCTCTAAAATAATTTAGAACTTGTGACTCCAAATGTACATAGAAGGAAAAGGTTAAAACAAATTTATGATATTAAAGCAAATAAAAAATGGTCTTCCAAGTGATATGAAATGAGAAACAATAACTACCATCCACAAGTATACCTTGTTATGAGCGGCAGAACCACCATATTGTAGAGCAAGTGTGTCACCCATTTTCTCATAAAAGCTCATCAAATCATCAGCCAAAGGGGCATCTAAATCAATCCTTGGTATACGTATTAGGCCTAAAGCATGAAGCTGATGCCCAAGAGCAGCTAAACCGTGTGCATATTGAGCGACATTAGTGCGATCTAAACAGTCAATACAATTTGTGCGCAGGACTCCTTTCTGAAATCTAATTGATTTAGTCAGACAAATTCCACAGTTGCTATCTTCATTTTCTGCCGTTCTCTGCTCAGATATAGCATGGTTCACCATGTTATCCTCTTGAGAACCATCTCCAACAGTTTTTTCTTCTTGAGAACTATCTTCCATCATGTTATCTTCTTGGAAACCATCTCCATGGATAATATCACCATCTGTGTTGTTGTCATTGTTGCTGTTGTCGTTGTTATCGAGATAACTAGATGACCAGGGATCAACATTGTCCTTCCTATGGGACAGCAGCAGCAACAATAGTTAAAAAAAGAAACATATCCAGGGTCAAGGATCGAGGTGCATGTTGTGCTAGGAATTTACATGGAAGGCAACATGATAAAAAAAAAAGGGTGAATTCTGCATGTATCATTTATAGAATCCAGATATGCAGCTGTTCCAGATTATGGCATGATACATGTGATACGCATAGAGCCTGAGACATACCACACTGATACCTTTTTGGCACAGCCACACTACACAACTTAATCTTTGGGTAGGTATATTTCTTCATTGATAAACATCATGATCATGTTAAAGAATGCCCAGAGAGTACGTGACAATAACAAATGGTTTGTTTACTCTAATTACATCTAGTACGAAACATAGTTATGAGTTTTTAGGCATTTCTGTGAAACGAAGAGAAGTACTAAATCAGTTTCTATCCAGAAATGAACCACCCAAATCTATACCTAAATTTTTGGAAGTCTCCAAAAGAGTTTGTCTGGTTTCATCACAGAATTAGAAGGTGAAAAGAAAAAAATCTCACCAACTACCTACAGCATGATAGTTTAGAGATACGATTATAAGACGACTTGGTTCAAACTTCAAATGATGGCATTTTATTTGATGAGTTTCATCAAGGATTTAAATAATGATACAAACCACAATGTCTGACCAGTGTACCTCAGTACATGGTTCGTTTTACCGGTCCATACCAGTATATTGATCAACCATCGGTATGATACGTACCGACATACCGACATATGATATAGTGAGGTATACTGACAGACTGGGTGTACCGCTCATACCAATCCCTTGTTGGACCAGTATATACCACCCGTACCAGGCAGCATACCATGGTACGACAAACCTTGCCTCTGTATACTACCAAGAATATTAGAAAAACACAAAGATGTGCCAGTATATGTCAGTATAATCAGTAAAATTGTCCTACGAGTTTGGCCTTGAACTAGTACAATACAATCAGTACAATAATATCACTGTTTAGATTCATGATTATCATAACATGTACCAAGTTCCTTTTGAATCAAACATTATCCATGTCAATCAAAAAATGTCTTGCCCATGTTATAGAACAAATCTAATAAAGGAAAGCATGAGTTCCTTTGTGTAAATGTATTTAAAACTAAGAGAATTAGACACTCATTCAAACTTGTGGTAACATATTCAAATGGGGATTCTGTGCAGAGCACAGAGAGTTTTACATTGCTGTTTGCCAAATGGGCATGAAGTTGAATGTTTGAAAAGCCATTTACAACTTCAAAAAAAAATCATCCACTGCTAGAAAAGGTTGTTGGATCCTTAAATTTCTAAAAGACTTTACTAGAACCACTTTTGACAAGTATTGCTTTCATTGCCAAGATAAGATGGTTTTTCTATCACATTTGCCAAATGGGCATGAGGTTGAATGCTTGAAAAGCTGTTTCAACTTCAAAAAAAGCCATCCACTGCTAGAAAAGGTCGTTGGATCCTTAAATTTCTAAAAGACTTTACTAGGACCACTTTTGACAAGTATTGCTTTCATTGCCAAGATAAGATGGTTTTTCTATCATTATAGTAATCAATAGAGTCCTTGTGCTTAGATAGCCAAGAATCTGATAACAAATTCATTAATGAAAGGTTTTAAATTTCAATCTAGTGGCATAGAGACTGAGCTCCAAGTGCTTACCAACTAAGATTTACAGTGTAAACAAAAAGAGTATAGTTTGATCTGTAAGTGGGCTATGGCATCTGGCAGTAGCTTAACATACAATTTGCAGAAGTTTAACATAAGGGTTTTCCTGTAAAAGTTTAGGCCCCAATTCTGCTAACTGGTTCTGGAAGAAGCATATTTAACGTGATACTTGCGTTTGGTTCAAGATCTTTACATCCTTGTCTAATATGCTAGATTACCATACGAAATAATGATTGTGCAGTCTTAGAAGAAGTCAAAGACAGCATCAGCTGCTCCAAGATCAGAGAGATTGACAACAGAGACTCCATCTCAAGACTGAATATGAGTGCTATTAGTCGAACCTGTTAATCTACTTTTGCATGAATGAATGGCACAGCCTTACAACAAACCATTTTTATCACACCGAAAGCAAATAAGAGTATAACATCTTGAGATCTATTCCAAAAGTGTTTGTTAAAAGCCACTACTTCTTTTCTTAAGCATCAAAAATACTCGATACATCTGCTTCTCATCAAAAGTCAACATGAAAAACTTCTTGAGGGTGCATAATCCATCTCATAATTTAACAAAGGTCTCATGGCTGATATAAACATTTATACTGCAGATATGCTTTGGAAACATATCCATAAACATTACCTTCCTGAATAAATCTAAAAGGGCAGAATAAACACAAAATATTGGTAACAGTAGACCTAGAGCAAGAGGTCCACTGGATTGGATTCTGAAGATGTGAACTGCCACCTGAATCAGAATATAACCAGGTAATTGGTATATCTTATCTTGGTGGAGATGGAGAGAAAGTAATATTCCAGAAACCTAAAATTTAATATACCAGTTCCACATTATAAAAATCACTTCCTAATTGCGCTTATGTGAATAAAAGATCCAGCATAAAATCAACCTTTTATAAAAGAAAGATTGAGAAAAGCTTCGAACACCCAAGGATCACACCGAGGGAAAGATATGTAACAGGTGCAGTATTTTAAAGCAGGAAATGAAAAGTATAAAATTCTTACAAAATGACAGGTTCTCTTAAAGCACCATCAAACTCTAAAGCTGGTGTAACTTCACAATGGAAGAAGCCAGTTAGATTCAGTGCATAGGCTGCAACTTTTCCCAGCAAAGTAAGCACACCTTTAGCCTTACTGCAATAAAAATTCTTGAATTAGAACACTGTCACAAAAATATTGCAGTTTCAAATTAGAGAAATGACAAGGAGCCTCTGTCACAAGGGGGAAGTTACCTTCGAGAATGTTTATGGAGATCCCAATGCAGGAACATTAAACGATTTTCGCTTGGTACATCTTTATTCAGAAATTCAATGGCATTAGCAAATTCGACACGAAGAATAGATTCTCGAGGTTTCTTCTCTTCTGACTGTTGAAACAAAAAAAAAGAACCATACAAAGATAGTGGTAGAAGTGACCATTATATCCAATTTATAGTGTAAAGCTATTAAAATGAGCAAATTTTCTGTCTATATTTCATACAGAAAAGAAACTCTTGAAAGCTCTTAATATGGAGCATACCTTAATCAAGTTTAAAATGATTATAGGGTTCCCATATCTTTTTACAAGATTTTCAAAATGAAGTTGGGTGGCTTCATAATCTTTATCCTTTCTATGCACTGCAAAAAGGGGAAGAGAAAATAAAACAGTGAAAAACATTATGTGTAGTTGTGTTCAACATGCTGCAGCAAGTTTGAAGCTTACAGACAATATCAGGCTTAAGATTTAGCTTTGAAGTTTCCTGTGACCAAAACAGTGGTATGGAACCCCTATTCTGAACAACAGAACAAATATGTGTTGGAGTCCCTCCAGGAATTTCTTCAAAAACAATTTGTTCTGTCTCGACATCATTTGCGACTCTTCCCTTCTCATTAACACCACGCTTCAAATATCTGATCAATAAGAGCCAGAACAACAATAGAAAAATAGAGGGAAAAAAGATGAACATCATAGTCATAAAATTTAATCTTCACATATCATAATATGCGAAGTACCGAGCATCAATCATCTTTTCTCTTATCACCAGGGTTATACTTGGTCAAACCATTACAAACATGGTAAATAAAGAAAAGGACAGAAATATATAACAACCTAGTGCCAGCATAATGACGTGATCGCCTAGCGATGAGTGTCAATTTAAAAATCTTCCCAGATACTGAAAGTTTTGCCTGAATAAAGAAAACAAAAACCATCACTGCTCCATTATCTGATGTGTTGAGTAATATCAAGGTCAATGTCAAAGAACAAGTGAATGGAAATAATGACTTATAAGTTCTTAGCCAACTTTTGAAAAAAAAATTTGATGCTCAAGAATTTAAATGATACTTTTAACATAGAGAAAATGTTAGAATTCATAACCTACAGTTAGAAAAATTATCAATGAGCCTTTTCATGAAAACTTGGACAACCAAAATGACAAATATGCTGAATAAAGTAAATCAGAGGCAAAGATCCAATAGAATATTAACTGCCAAACATTAGCATCCCTAATCATAGTCAGAAGATTTAGGAAATGTATTTAAAACCTGAAAATTATCAAAAAGAAAATCCTACCAATCTTACTATATTCTTTACATTTTTTATGTATTAAGTTACTAAAAGCAAATTGTTCCTAGTAAATAAGTCAGAATATTTACTATATCATATAAATGTCAAACCTTGTGATATTACAATATTCCTTACTCCAAAAATTTTTATCTATGCCATCTTATATCCTTTTTTTTTAGTGATATGAAGTATTGGCACATCCATGTCATGTTATATAAATAGTGTTGGGAGAGTCATCAAATCAAGATTCGTCGTACCACAATATACCACCTGATATGGGTGGTATGTACCAATTCGATAAGGGAATGGTACGGGCGGTATATATTGATATGTTGGGACATCTCACATACCATGTGTCGATACATCAGTTCGGTTCAGTACCTACCATACCAATGGCTGATCGGTATATCGGTATGAACTATTAAGACGAACCATGATTCAAACTACTAAGAATCAAGTTGTAAGTAGTTTCAAAGTCTTTTTAGAGACTTTATATAAATATGAGATTTACTATATTAAAAAAGCCTTTATCTTGAAGAATCTTGTATCCCTGGAAAAGATACTTTTTGATATAATTGTAATGGTATTGATTTTTATGAAAAGTTTAAAGAAGGTGGGTCTCTTTTTTCCTGATAGTTTGACTTCATTGTAGTGTGTGGGACATATTCAGTGTGAGACATATTTCTAGGTGTGACTCCAAGGAAACAAAGCATGTTTGTAGTACCAGCTTCGGCATTAGTTACAGAATGGAAGTACATATACAGAGGTCAGCCTATAGGACCTTAATCAGACCAGAACAAGCATTATTTTTCTCTTCATCTAAAGTTCACTCCAATAAGAATGAGTACTTATATAAGAAAATAAACCTGGATTGGAGAATAAATTTGTAATTCAAAGTGAGAAAAATTCGATGATGTATACAACTTGAGCTCTTAAGTCTTATCTATCCCGAGTAATAGGGATTTGATGAATCCCTGGTTGTAAGAGCAAATAGATATCCTCCATCAATATAGTAAGCCGGAGATCTGACTTCAATATGCAACATATACGTGAACCAGATATATGACTGCTTAATAACTCATAGCATTTGATGGGAGCTGAGGTCCTGCACTTCTTCCTCCATATGCATTATCCCTTCAGTTGGTACCTTACCAACTTTCAAATGTTGAGCTAATTTTCCTTGTTCTGCTTCATTGATTAACACTTCTTCACAGAATTTTGTGATTTAAGTATCATGAACCATACAGTTCTGTGAAGAATTTTTTAAAATAATACACATGTGCCAGCCTTGACTATAATTTATAGATACAAGTTATTGTCGCAACTATCAAATTATATACTGATCTAAAGTTGTTGAGAAATTGGAAGCTAATGCCAATTGAACAGGTTGTATCATGGTCAAAGTCATTTGAACATGTTGTATCTAGTGAAGGATGAAACTTGACAGCAAAATGAAATCAAATTAACATGGTTCTTCTTTTTAAGTATCTTCCAAAATGTTAGCAGTCACCATCAATACTTATTAGATTGAGGTAAGTTGTGGATATATTCTATAGTGTTTGGTACCAATGAAATCTACAGTTATACATCATATAGAATTCCAGATATGAGTTATAGGTATGTTAAGATTTTCAAATATATATCCCTAATTGTATAGATAACTGAGGATGGGTTTTTGATTTCGTGTTGAGCAACACAGGAACCAAATATTTTCAGAGATTGTGATAACCCACCGAGATATAATAACCATGACCTTATGATTCACAAAGTAAACATCATAAGAATAATAGAAAACACTTCCAACCAGAGCTGAAAGCCATATGAATTTATTCAAGGCGACCACGCATTAGAAATAGTTACTCGTGGTAATAGGAGAACCTGTATACTGGAGAAAGAATTTTAGTTCTAAAAGTAAAAACATCTTACCTGCTTGAAAAAACCATATACTAAGGCAACTGTCCATAGAGTATTTTTAAGTTGATTACGGATTCCACGTGTCAAAAACTCATTCCAGACAAACATGGACTCATACAACACTTCTCCTCTTTGACTGTCAGATATGTTCTTTTGGAGGCTTCTCATAACATGGTATGAGTAGCTGAAAAAGAAGTCTTTTGTAAGATCTACTGTACACAATAGCTTCTTGTATCTGCACCATCGTTAAGGCAAAAACTTTTTTATTTAAGGTTATATTCTGACAATATACAGATGTAGAATCATGATGCAACAATAATACATGACATACTACAAGATGACAGAATAAAACCTGGTTTATTATAAATTTTAATATATAGCAACATAGAAAAAATGCATGAAGGTGAACTAGTAATTTAGACATAACAGTCTGCCACTTAAAGCCCCAGAGAAACACGTGACATGGAGAGAAATTCTACTAAATGAGCAGTTGTTCAGATTGGAAAATAATGCCCTCTCATAACCAAAAATTATTAAATACTTTAAGAGAAGAATTCATAAATGAATAGAAAGTATATGCCTATATGTTACTGTTTTTTATGCATACCCTCCATTCTCCAATAGTAATACAACTATAAATTAGAAGCTTAATTCTAAATCATTGCTTTGAGCCAAATAACAAATGTCGAGTTAACCCACAAACTCAAAATGACAAAGAGCTATAGTATCATGTTACAAACATAATAAAGAACAAACCTGTTTTCATTCTTAGAATAAGCCATATTAGAGTGGATGGCCGAATTTGGAAGTGCAATCATCTCACTTTTTGTGACGGCAAAGATAGCATGGCCATATATGATGCCAATTTGCCGCCTTTTAGTAATAAGCAACATATAATAGGGGCCCAAGAACCTAACAAACCCTGAAGTGATAATATATCTTATCAATGAAAAGTTTTGAGATATGACAACTAAAATACTGCAAATAAGCAACACAGAAAATGAGCTGATAGTCAACTAACCAACAATGCCATAACAGTTGGTGACAAATTTTAGTCCACCAGTCAACCTGTTTCCTTCATCAATTCGCTTCAACAACTCATTGCATTCGCTTTCTGTGTATGTTGTGGCATCCTCACGGATGTTAAGCTCTGAAGCATCTGATCTGTCAATCGTCAACACTCTCCATAGTGTTCTACTCTTGTCTCTTCCAATCATATAAAATTTCTACAATGTAACACAAAAATAAAACAGTAACCATCTTTGTCATAATGAATAAGAAAGCAATCGACAAAGCAAATGAAAGACTAGCAGTAGAAAAGTATAAACTTCAATGACTCAGATTGCCTCTGAGATCACAGGGATTAGTACGGGCATTGTCCCAAAATGCTGAATAATTATTTAATTACCAAGTAGTTTTAGAAATTGTTCATTATAAAAGAAAAGTTTTACTTTGTGTTTGAGAAGTTAGAATTATTCTCGATGAAAATGTGGCATCCAAAAAATCACTAACAACATATTTTAAACTCCACAAATATTGCACAAATGTGACTAATAAGGTGATGTATACGATGGACAACTTTTGTAATGCGTAGTACACCAGAAAGATGTTCTCTATAAACAAATCACTGAGAAAAGTTTTAAGAACACGTAGCAGTTTGTCTTCCTATCAATAATAACCATGACTCAGACTCGCATGAAAAGCTCAATTTGTTGTCTTCAATTAATCAAGAAAAGGCTCCGTATTTTAGCTTCGGAACAGAACATGGGATTAAAGATAAGCAAATCGTATACGCCAGAGAAGGAACTCTAAGATATTCAAAAAGAAAACAAAAGAGGCACCAAAGCACAACTTTGGAAGCTTTAGCACATACAGGATCAAAAGTAGCAGAGAACCAACGAATCAAAAGTGGGAGCTAAGAGATAAGCCACTTTTGATTTTGGCAACGAAACAGATGGAATTTTAGCAAGCTCCTTACCGATCGTGTCTCGTAGAGCCTAAATTTATGGAGGTAGGAGCTCGAGGCGTCGGGGTTGCCCGCGATCCGGGCCTCCGCACCGTCCTGTACCGCCATCCCGTTCCGGATCGCGAGACCCGGGGTCGGACCAGATCACTCGAGCATTCCAAACCCGGCAGATCACCAAGCAACTCGCCACCGGATCTCCAGATCCTCCCACCGATTCAATAACCACAGCTTCTCTTAGCTCCTCCCCCTCGCCTCTCCTGCGCCAGAAGCCGCCTCCGTCCTCGGACACGGGGCACCGACAAGACGACGAAATGTAGGGAAACCAGCTCGAAAATGATCAAGAAAGAGGGAATGTTTCGTTCTTTAGAGGCAAAGATGGAATCTTTCGAGCTGGAAACGAAACTGGAGGCGGAAAACAGCCAAAAAAAGGGATGGAATTTACACGTTTTCTCGCTGGATTCTGGTGAGATTGGGAGGATGGTGGCTAAAGAGGGACGTCGTCGGAGATCGTGAGGGCGAGGCAAAGCGAAACCACGAAGACGCCTTCAATCCACAATAACCCAATTGATTTCGAGAAAGAGAAAATCCAAATCTTAACAGAGAGAGAGAGAGAGAGAGAGAGAGAGAGAGAGAGATTATTGCGTTATTTCCATTTCATGCTTCCTTTAATCTCTCTCTGTTTCTGTTCTTCTCTATAGACACGTGATCAGATTTCGATCGAGATCAAGGCTTTTTCGACTTCTTCAAAAGCACTCACAGTCGTACCTCTTTTAGACTGAAAGGGACCCACATAAATTCTCGAATAATAATACGGGGCTGTTTGGGGTACACGTAAAACAGGTAAATGCGTCGGGCCTAATCGGTCAAGCTCAACTCGGCGTAGACTCACCTCCCGCGCGGACTTGCGTCCCACGACGACCAAATTAGCGGGTCAAACCGAAACGAGTCGTTTTCTCCATCGTTCTGTGGAATGTTCGGCGGGGTTCACAAGTCATCGAATCCGAGTGAACGACGAGTCGATGCGGCTCGTACTCGGAATTCAAAGGCAAAAAAGCAAGAGACACGCCACCCCCCAAACGAGTGGTGGACTCGGCCTCCTCCCGCACGCGCTGGGTCGACTCGGGCCGAGCGGCTGCAACGTGTCCCTGCCCTGGACTTGTCGTGCCCGACTCAATCAATCATTGGGGAGGCAATCTAAGACAAGAAGTTGGCGTTGAACGCCCCGAATCTTGGAATCTATTCTTCCCAAGTTTGTAATGGTTGCGTGATCATTACATTTGTTACTTGTGAGCTCAATATCTCGTTTATTTTCGTATTATATTTAGAGCCCAATTGACCAAATCATTCTAACTTCAATTCGGATGGTAGATTGACGAGTTCATGGATTGAAATGGTAGAAATAACAATAATAATAATGTAGACTGAATTATTTGAATTCAGTTATCTATATTTTTATGAAAAAAAATAAATATTCTCAATTAAAATTTAAAAAATAACTAGCCGATGTTTGGAAAGCATAAGTCAACTTGACTCAAACTTGGGGAAAAGAAGTCTTTCCAAATATTATATTAAGTCAAATATCTTATCATTAATTAAAAAAACTTTGTTATAATATCTTTGTGATGGTTTCAGGTATATATATATATATATATATATATATATATATATATATATATATATAGTTAGTGGGAAAGGATGTGTAGAAACATAAAATAAAGAAAATGATTGATGGTTAATTCTATCAAACAATTTGATAGTTAGATTTAAAGGTTTCTATGAAAAAATATATTTGGTAAAAGCATCAAAGACTATAGAATTGGATTTAAAGGTTTTTAGGGGGGAAAATAAATGGGTCAAAAAAATAAAAATAAAAAAAAAAACCCTACAAACTATTAACTATGAACTTTATTAAACAAAAATGCTTTCATTGAGATTTGAACTCAAGACCTCCCGCTTACTAAACGGGTGCTCTAACCAACTGAGCTATGAAAGCCAGTTGATTTAAGCTTACACAATTACTTAATTAAAGATATTAGAACGAGTCTGGGTGAAGGGGACGTCAGTCTCAGCGTTGTTTTGGCGGCAACGTGGGGCCGATCAGATGTCGATCTTGTCCATGACGCAACTTGGTCAACGTCGTCTTACCGTTTTCCCCGTCTCGTGTCCGTTTAGGCGTGAGAGGGGTAAATAGGGATTAATCTCATATTAGTGACACTAAGATTGATATATATATCGAGTTGGAGTCATATTAAAAATAATTAACAAGTACATTAAATCTGTTTGACTTAATTAACGCCCTCTTCCTACTAATCCACTGGGAAGGATTAAATCGATTGGATTTGGAGATACTCTGATAATTCAAGCTCGTTGTGTTCAATTCGATCGAGGAATTGAAACCCTACCTTCGTTTTCTATGAGGAATTATCGCTAACTGTTTCAGTCCGTCTGCATCAGATCCAGACATCGAGAGACGGAGGGTGGAGACCAAATCACGCCACAGTGAGCCAAATCGAATGGTCAACCGTTGACCTTATCCAAAAGAAATCCTTGCCTGCGATGAATTCCTACCCGCCGTTCCTCTCCTCCGTGTCTGGAGCTCGAATGGGCCTTCTCGACCGGCTGTGGGACGACACCGTCGCCGGGCCTCCGCCGCTCGACGAGCTCCGCAAGTACAACTCCTTCTCCCCTTCCTCCGCCTCCGCCGCCGTTGTACAGGTCGTCTGTAGCATCGCCATCGTCCGCGCCCCCGACGCCTCCCTCGCGCGTGAGTTGCTCCTCCTCCTCCTCCTCCTCTTCCTTTTTCTGTTCTAGAGGTTTCCAGAAGGTCCGAGAAGGCGAGCGGGACCGAAAAGATGGCTTTTTTTCCCGTCTGAACTACTGCTGCAGCTCCGGGGCTTTGGGGAGATTGGAAGAGGTTGCGGAGGAAACCGGTGCCGGCGGAGGAGGGAATCCAGACGGCCCAGCCGAGATTCCCCACCGTCTATGACTGGTTGGTCCTTCTCTAATTGCTTGGAACATCAAACCCTTGTTCATATGTTTCCTAATTATTCATCCATCTTTAAGGCCAGTAGCACTTCAAAGACTCTCTTTTTATGCTTCTGCAATTGTAATTACTTTGTAGGGTGGTGATAAGCTCTCTGGATAGATGACACTGAGATGGAGGACAAAGTATGACCACAAATTTGCAGTCAGCTTGTGTGTTTCTTGGTCTGTGTATAGCATGCAAATCTTTGTAGTAGTATAAATAAAGCACTGAGAGAGAGAGAGAGAGAGGGGTCAAAACACTTGTGTTGTAGTCATTTTACCACAGCTTGTAAATGGTTCTACATTTTCTTCACCTTTCCTTCTCCACTCTTTGTAATCTGTGTTTGTGAACCAAGTGATTGGCCTTCTGCTCAATGGAGTGGAAGCTATCCAACCTTGGGGGTGCACCAAAACTTGAAATTGTGCTTTGCCTGTGGACTTCAGAATCTTAAGAACACAGCAAAGCATTATTAATTCATAAAAATCCTAAACATCTGATAGCATCTGAAAACACACTGGAAAAAGGATTTAATAGTCAAACCATGTGCTATTTAATATCTGATGCTCAGGAAAATAAAACAATTTCAGGTGTCATGTTGCACAGTATGGATATGTTCACTCAATATCTGGCTTGTCTTCAAAATCATAGACAGCTTATGTGAAATCAATGATTGCTAAATCATGATCTAGTTTGTTGTTTCATATTTGTGGTTTGGATAAGGCTAGTCTACCTTTTAGATCATCAACCTGTCTGCAAATTGCACAGGATCTTGTCCTTCTCTGAGAAGTGCAGTGGAACACTATCACAGCTTGGGTTGGTGCTCACATCAAAACTTGATACCACCTGCAAACAGCAGCCTGCTATGAAGCTAAAATTGCAGAGGTTTAGTAGTCTTGGGACATCAAGAATACACAATAAACATATCTAACAAAGTTGCTCTCTTTGCCAGCAGATTTAATCATCAATTATTGTAGGAACAGAATTTTTAGTAGGAACAGTGAAGCATGGGCATAAATTGAGCTACAGATTCACCACAATCCCTTGTAACATAAATTGATTCTTCAAAGAATCAGGGAAAAAGAACTTGGGACTGTTGGAGAACACATCACAAATATTTCTTCCTATTTCTTATTTGCTAGTGGAAATGGAAGATTCAAATCTCTCTTCATTTTCTCAGGAGCCAAACAAATCTAAGACTACCTGATCATCTGTGAACATCACCCACTCTGACCTACAAATCCTCTGCTTTTTCTTGGGATTCTGTTTTTATTTCTTTATACCTTTTATATGATATACTATGCACAGTTTTCCCTGACCTACATATATTAGAAGTATTACAACATATGAATTCTGCATCTACACATAATTGTCAGACATTGTGCATGACCCAAGTGTTCATATATGAAAGATCTGTTTGTATGTAAACCAATCTTTACTGTTTCTGCATAACATCAGATTCTTTTGGAAGTATGGAACCATTCAAGCAAATACTCCCAGAAATCACTGAAACTCACAAGATGAATAAATGGAAATTAAATAACCTTCCAATGGTGATGGGAAACAAAATGCAAAACTCTTGTAGTGTTTAAAAGCCTTGCTGATATATAAACAAATGAATTCATCACTGTAGTTGCCATGGCCATACTTGTGTGCACTATGGTTTAAGATTTCATTGTTTCAAAATGCATATATGTAATTGAGAAGTTTATACAAATAAATCACAAGGCCACTGAAGAATTTTTGATGGATTACCAGAATATAATGCTTTAACCCAATGGTTATCACAAGGTAAGTTCAGAAGTTGTCACATGAAAAGAACATAGATCAGATTCACCTTCCCATAATGTTAAGTTGCTTGCTTCTAAAGAATTCATCAAGGGCATTACTTTGGACTATCAATCTGAAACCAATGACAAAAAAGTGAATCCTAAGTTCCATTATGACTTCATTTGGACTAACTTGATTCTGAGATTTTATCACTGGTACTGGGTTGGTATGCATTAAACATCTAACCAGATCAAACCTTGAAAAGAAATTCTTCCCACTTTGTGTCCTGTCTTTAGTGTTCTTACCAGTTGGTGATCTCCAAAGTTTCACCACCCACAAAGTTATCATATCATAGATATTAACATTTCACCTTAAATTTGCATGGTTTCTTGTTGGTATTAGACCTTTCCTTGGAAACCAAGCCTTCTTCCCATAAATCTCACCTATTGATATGTACCTTTTGTCTTCCAAAAATCTTGCAGAAATCTATAAACATAAGGTAGATGCTGTCCGATATCTCGGTATCATACCAGTCTGATAAATTACCAAAATCGATATCAGATCTGATAAGGGTGTATCTAGTGCAGGAGGCTCCCACCAATGCAAGGTCTGGGGAGGATCAGTGTATGCAGCCTTAATAATATCAGATCTGATATCTAAAAGAATTAGAATGACTGAATCATTGAGCTAAAGAATGGTTCTTCTCCATGTTGTCATGATCTATGCCTAACCCACCTACCACCATGCATATGACAACACACTGTCCATATCGACATGATAGAAAATACCACCACAAATTTTGTCTGAACTGGACTTGCTCCTCCTCTCCATGTCCATCGGTTGAGTTGTGCTCCTCCCTCAACAAAAGTACTGTATCATCAATCACTGTCTCGTTGCCTCCAAAGTCCAGCAAGCGTGAATCTTACTCATTTCAGTCTCTGGACTTGATTGGAGCGAGCATAGCAAGAATGCTTGTCTCAGAACATTTGTATCAACCTGATGGCAGGCCAAGCACTTGATTACTTGTGAGATGAGACATTGATAGTGATAGATAAACTCAAATATACCCAAAACTAGAAAAAATCAAAATCTATAAAAGACATCAACTCATTGTAAGCATGTCCAACTTCAATAATCAAAATAAAATTTTACTTTTGTAGAAGTTTAAGCTACACTATCACATCTTTGGAACTTGGTCAATGCGTTTATAAGCATTAATGGTGCAGTCGATACCAACCAGAGAAAACAACTTCTTAGGATTTGTTCACCAACACAGTCCTTAATCTGCACAGGATCTATTTGTATTCCTCTTTTTATTTCTATCTACACATCCCTGCTCATCCGGGTTGATGTCAATCCACTGATCCACAAAAATAGATTTGAGTCATCGTCAAAGAAGACTTGAAACTAATAATCATGATACATTATTTCTCTAGCATCAAATAAAGAACATGAAATCTTTCTCATCAATTTAGGTGATGCGGAGGAAGCTCAAGGGCAAAGAGGTAGGTGAAGAAGTAGTTGAATTTTTGTTGGTTGTTCCCTTTTCAATTTCACATGCGATCATAAATTATAAAGATTTGAGATCTCAAGTAATCCTTGTGGCTTGTGATCTTTGTTTAATTAATGAAGTCACAAGAACAAAAAAAATTGCTTGTATAATATATCAACAAGTTGAAATTTGAACTAACAACATGAAAGGAATTAAACTAAACAAAAGTACGATACATTCCATGACATTTATATATTTTGATTTGGTTAGGTGATCAATATTTACATGGGAGGAAGCAGAAGAAGCAACAACTTAATAATGCTCTGTCCTTGTCATGAAGTAAGTACTCTACATGGTTCAAAAACAGATAAAGCATTGGGGGATTCCACAGCCATTTAAGCATTGTTTTAGACCAAGAAATCAGTCTACCAAACTTGAAACTGACACCAATTAGCCTTAAAACTAGATTTAGGAGTCTATATGAAGAGTGTTAATGTAAATCACTAGAACCTAATATATTTTGGCCCTTCTCCTCACTTGAGTTTGGTTTATCTCAACCTAAACCGACTTGAACGCGAGAGAGAATATATGACCATTTCTCTTTACTTGAGTTCAGTCGATCTCAACTTAAACCAACTTGCACGTGAGAAAGAACGTTGTATGAGAATACTGTTTTTATGACTTGAATAATCCTAAACCCTTTTTGCATCATTTTTGAGAAAGGATATTAAGTACTTCTCGGCTGAAATGAGGTCAAACCGTAGAACAAGTCAGCCATTAAGTGTCTCATAACGAAGGTGCCAACTCTCTTGGCTAATAAAGATGTTATGAGACGATTTTCAGATCAAACAAGAAAAATCTTTGGGTGGATTGAGGTTCAGTTGACTGTAGACTGTTCCATTCAAAACATAACAAGTCCAATAAAAAGTGAAATTTTCATCCATCAAGTTGTGTTTTTCAAACCAAATCGATATGCCTTTGATGACAGATCTCTTCTTCGCCATGACACCAATTCAAGTGAATTAGGTTGGCGGTGCACCGGATTTTTAATTGTGTGGATAACAACACATTCTAAATATGCATTTGGCTAAGTTACGACTCGAAGTACCTAAATCTTCTTTTAAAGATTACCGCAATGACGACGAATGGAAGAGTTGGAAGGTGATGTGGGCTCTATCAGTACTCCCCAAAGTGAAAATTTTTCTTTGGAAACTTCTATGAAAAGTACCCCCACATCTAAATGGACCTCTCACTTCCTTCACAACTATAAACACATGTCCTGTTTGTCATTCAAGTCAAAATTCAATCAAACATAACTTTTTTCAAATTTTTTTTTTGCTAAGAACTTTTGATATCTTGTCCAAGCTAAAACCTCACTAGTGTCTCAACTATTTTACAATTGGGCATGGCTTGATGAAGATGGAGATCTAAACCCTCACTCAACATCTTCTCTCCGTTCTTCAATTGCTAACTATCTTTTGACTCTTGTGGAAGCACTGAAATGATCGATTGCCTCCTTCGCAACCAATACCTTCAACCCTTCACAATCTGGATAAAAACACTTTCCCTAATTGATGACACCCATGCTCCACCCCGTGAGGGCAGTGACATTAATCTCCCTCTTGCTTCAATTCCTCCCCCTACCCAAACACCACAATATTGGTTTACTTTTACTTTGTGATGGTTCTTATTCTCTTCTCTTTCTCTCTTATTGTCCTTGATCAGGAGAACAATATTGTCATAGCAGACTGTTGCACCTTGTCACCTACTTCTTCCCCACTGGCAGAGAGATATGGGCAGTCATAGAAGGTCTCAAGCTTGCCTATCATGAAATTATTTTCCATCTTCAGATCTTGTCAGACTCAAAACAACTTATGAACTTCCCACAGAACCCCAACAAAATCCCTTAGACACTCATCAACTCCACATCTTTAATCTAAGTCAAATTTCTTTCATTCAAAGCAGAAAAAAAACATGCATTTGGCATTCAATGCCTACCGCCGAGCCATGATGCTATGTAAAGGGAAGCTAAAGAAGTAATAAACAATTTTAT